GTTTAGATATACTTAAAAGATTCCTTTGCATGGATTTAAAAGAGGGCACATTAACTATTTCAACCCCTACCCCACAGGTAACACCTTCTCCTTAGTTGTGGCGTCTTGTAATATTTCAGTTGTTCAGGTGCATGGAGGTAGCCTCTGGCATGTTTGCCTCAAATGTAGAATATAATACACTGTCATAGTTGTAATTATCACTCTGTGTCAATAGAATGTACAATGTTGTATGTATATATTTTATTTATTAGGTTGGGAATTATTGCTGTATTCCCTTTTTTCAATAGGTAAATGAGAAATACTGCACAACTTGGACGTCCTACACATGCCCAAAAAACTTAATGGAAAACACAGGACAGGTATGTTCTGCCCTTCTGCCACTCCCCCCTCCCCTTACACTTGCCAGTAATTTTCAAAATGACAGCTTAGAGCTGTAATAACTGCTTCTATCAAAATATGAACAATATGGCACAGTATTTATAACTAAATAGACAGACAGACCGATAGATCGATACATTTTTACTTTGTATCTACTCTGTTTCATTAATCTAGAGATCAAAAGGATGATTGATTGATCTGCACATGATGTCAGTTAAAGCAAAAACCAAAACAATTTTTTTTTAAACATTTGTTTCTATTTAATCCCTTTATTAATCCTTAATTTACCCTAATAATCTTAATTAACACCTTAGAAGAATAGAAGAGTATAAATGACCAACTCACTAACTCTGTTGGAAGTCTGTTCCAAGTATCAACTATTCTTTTTGGTAAAAATAGCCCTTTCTAAGGTAACCTTTGAATTTTCCTCCTACTAGTTTCAGGAGATGTCCCTGTGTTCTTGATCTTAGCTTCATACTGAAAATACTGCCCTGCTGAACCTTATTTCCCCCTAAAGTGTATTTCCACTTTTTCAGTTAAATTTGAGAATCCCCCACTATGTTTGTTATGTGTTCCCATTCACGCATCATACCTAAAATATTTTTAAAAACATATTTCTTATCTTTCAAGCTGTTATTTTTGGAGCAAGATATTACATAGGACTGCAAGCTATTCTGAAACATTTCAGAGGGACAAGGTGGAGAGAGAATCCATTTCCCCTTATTAACATACAATGTAGAATCCAAGCTTCAAGATCTTTAACCCTTTGTTAGGACAGACAAACTCTAGTGGTAAACTCTAGTTTGCAACTGGTAATGAGAACAGCCAGGACAGTACAAACAGGGTTAATTATGGTAAACATTAATTCCACAGACCTCTCCTTAACATTATATAGGGGTAAGCTAAGTAAGATTCGTAAGCAAGTAAAAAGCACTTAAAATTGAGCATTTTAATCAATGATATGTGAATAGGAACACATAAATATACAAATATAAAGTAGGAGTTATCCTAATTTAACTGCAAAGTTTCAGTCCTTCAAGACTCTAAATGTTTCATTCCGGAAATTTCTCCTGATATGTTTAATACCTCAGATCCTTCACCTTTTTTGTTGCCTGTCCCTTCACTATAGACCTGACTAGAGACCTCAGCAAATGCGTATTACGGTGCAGCCCATTGTCTAGATGGAAAGAGAAAGTGTCGTTACTGCTGATCTAATGTCTGTAGTCGCGGCTGTAAGTTGCATGGGGAGGACAAGAGGCAGAATTTTGAGTAATTTTTTAAACTATATATTCATATCCTTTAAGTCGAATGTAACTCTTTGATTCAAATAAACATATGGTTCTTCCAAGCATGTAGGTGGTACTGAATTCAGCATTCTTTGTAAATGGAGCATCGTAAATACCCTATATATTAAATATTTATTTGCTTAACAAACATTTTATATATGTTTCCATATCTATCTATCTATCTATCTATCCACACACACACACACACTACATATATATATACAGTAGGGATGCACCAAAATGGAATTTTGAGACTGAAACAAAAAAAATTAAATTATTTTTGATTTTTGTTTCTTTTTCTTTCCTGTTGCAGGCTCTGGGGAAATATTATTTCCCTTTTAAAATAGAAAAATATATTGGGGGTTATTCACAAAGCTGCCGAAGGCAGCCGAGTGCATAACCCAGCCGAAATGAAGTGAGCCCAACGCTGTTTGGCTATTCACTTCATTCTTGTATGGCTGAGCGGCATTTGGCTCGGCTATTCTGCTCGGTACCTCTGAGGTACCAAGCAGAATAGAAAATAAGTGAAGAGAATGAAAAAAAAGTTGAAAAATAATGTACATTTTTTTTAAAAAATCGTGAAATGAAAAAAAAACAAATATTTTAAAGAAAAGATACATAATTTAAATAAAAAAAAATAAAAAAAGCTGCACGCCAATCCCACCGCATGCAACGGACTCCCACCACACAATGAAGCGACTGACAGATGCTGGCAAAAGAAAAACAAAACAATCGAGCAGAGCTAGCAGTGACAGCTAACTCCGCCCAACGATTTCCTATTGGCCGCCACCTGCTAGAGTCTTCTAGCAGGTGCTGGCCAATGAACAACAACTGGCTGGAGCTGGCTGTGACGTCACGGCCGGCTCCACCCAGTTGTTATTGTTTAATGACAGATAAGCGTCCACAGGTCATTTGGGGACTCTGATCTATCATTACAACTGGGCGGAGTGAACGTGAGATCACGGCTGGCTCCGCCCAGCTGTCATTTGCGTAGAGATTGGTCGGCTTCGGCCAACCGTTCTCCGCGCTTCGGGTGTCACCATGGCTCAGCCGAACCAAAGGGCAGCGGCTGCCATAGAAAGCCGAAGGATCAGCCGAAGCTACGGCTGGATCCTTCGGCTCTTTAGTGAATAACCCCCATTGAAGACACAGAGTCATCAATATCTTTTTCTGCAGCTCCTGTTATAAATGAACAGGAAGCCTCTATACTGAGTACTTATGTTCATTCATACATTGAGGATATAAAGTACTTCCTATGTCCACAATCATGAATGAATAGGAAGTGATGTAGATCACTTCCCATTTATTCATAACTGGGACATAGTACACATGTTCAGTTATTTATAAACACTCACCGTTCAGCTGACTGGTATGTGTTTGTATTCCCGCTCTGCATCCTGAATCGGCTGTCACAGGAGTAGGGCTGGCAGTGGGGGAGGAGAGCTCCGCCTCCTTTGACAGGGCAGAGCACTCTCCCCAATCACTGCTCTCTATCCTGACACAAGAGGCGGAGCCAGGTGTGAGAGGAGAACTCTGCCTCCTGTGACAGATTGCAGCTGTCACTGCTCTGGACCACTCTCCATCTTGACACAGGAGGCCGAGACAGGAGGTGAGGGAGGAGAGCTCGGCCTCCTGCAACGGCAGCTGTCACTGTGCAGCGATGCTCTCTATCTTGAAAGCTTCTCTCCTCCCAGCTTGGCACTGGCGCTGCATGGGATGCACTGAATTTCCGGCCGCAATTCGGGCCAAAAGTGCAATTTTCGCACGAAATTTCGGTGCATCCCTAATATATAAGAGGGAGAGGGGGAAAGAGAGGGTGAGAGAGACTGTGCAGTGCCTCATCACGGTGCGATAAGGGTTAGAGGTCACCCATACAGGTTGAGGTGCTCCAGGCTGCACGTTTCATATAAATAAAACTTTTTAGTTTTCTCCAGGATAGGTAACCCCTGGTCATGGACCTTGGGCCTAGAACCCGGAGGCTTTGTAGAGACTGGGGTGGGATGAAGACTCCATGAAGAGTCCATGATTTGGTACTGACTGGCACCCATTGATTATGCTGTTGTGCACAGCCCTTATGGTTCGGGTGCTGGCTAGTGTTCAGGGCTCTGCCTGGGAGGCAGAGGAGGGCTCCACCCAGAAGTTAGGAAGGGAGCCAGTGCAGCTGGCAGCAACCATAGATGGTGTATGTGTACACCAACTTGTGAGTACTGTCTGGAGTAGAAACAGACAACGGCCTGAGGATTAAGGCCAGAGTAGCAGTGTTGCAAGACCAAAGCCAGGAGGCTAAATGCATGTTTGTTTTTTTGGGAGATGCAGAACAACCCCTGTGAGGGAAACTGTATTATATTTTGAGAACTTTCTGTTCAAAAAAGAGGGAAAGGAAGCCCTAAAAAGAAGATTTAAGTGAGTGGCTGCATCCTTAATGCTGTACTATTTGAAGCATATTCATTCTATCTATCTTGAACATTTGTAAATTTAGAAAATAAAATAATACTGACCAAATGCCATATAACGCTTTTCAATTAACAATGGTCTATGGTTTTAAGGTTTTTTTTAATGAACCATCAAAGCTAAATGTTTACAGCAGCTCCAGGCAATAACTGACATCACTGGACTACAATTTCATAAATACCTTCTCTACACTTTAAAAGGAAATGTGTAGGCTGTCATTGCTGACTTCAATTTTTTGAGCTTTAACATTTTCCATGAATGCCCATGTGGACTATGCTGCTTTTTTTTAACAGGTACTGGTAATCCTGAATATGCTGTCATTTCTAACATTTATGAAGACAGACATCATTATGTTACAGTGTATACTTGCTCTTATCCCTCTAATTTAAAAAAATATATCCCCATAAATATAAAATAGTAAGAGTACATTAATTTTGAACTTCACCTGAAAACAGACCATTTAAATAAGAGACTAACATTTGCACTAGCTGATTTTACTCTAAGGTTTCTTAAAACTAAATTTTGAATGCACAGTGTTTAGTGTGGAGGAAAATAAATGATAGATGGCAAGTTATGTTAAGGATATCCCTGTTAGGATGCACCAGCAGGAAAACACATATATACACAAAGTAGCAACTGGGACCATTTATGTAATCCTGCTTGAGCAGCAAAGCATAGGCTGACATGTAAGTGTTATAAATGAAGTTGTCCTAGCAAAAATATGCACATGCAGAGGTTGCAGACACTTCTGTCAGACAGCACATTTATTAAAATGCTGTGAGGTTTGGTTTAGAATACTATTTCAAGCCGGAGGGCATCAGAGAAACAAAACCCAGAACTTTATGAGTTTTTATGAGACTAACATTTCCTCAGCAGTATACTTACAGGTAGCCACTCGCACAATATTTGTCACAGACCATGGACTTGCACTTCTTGGGCCGTGGTCGACACTGACAGATTTCACAATTGTGGATGTGTGTCTGAAAGCCATATGGACAGTCCAATGCACAACCGGATATGAGACCCGTACACAGCTCCTCCCCTACAAAAACAGAAAACACACTGCATTTACTAAAATATTATGTAATGCAAACTATTTGTTTAAAACTGAACTCCAGGATAAGCAAATATTGTCCAAATAGAAGAGGAATGTGTTTTTTTTTACTTGAATTTGTAGCAGCCTGCATGCTTGTTTTATTTAAACTTTTCCTGTAACTAAGTTTGTGCATGTAGGATTTTTGCCTAGTGAAGTATTTTAAATGCTACTGGGTCAGTTTCCTTGAGCTTTACTGCAGAACCAGACAACAAATATAAATAAAGTGTTGCCAAGCTTTACATTTAGGCTCGTCCTTGGGATAAGCTCTACATTGAGGGTCTGATCTTTGGTATCTGTAGTCCAAAGTGAAACATTTGAGGGTTTGGTCCGGTTGCTGTACTTCTCAAACCAAAACATTTGTGGTCTTGGTCCGGGATTTGTAGTCCAAGCAAAACACATGCTGACAATAATTTGCAGGTGATTTTTACCCAGTTCATGGTTATTGTTAAAGATTATAAAAGAATTGCCTTTGTACCATTAACCCAATTGCAAGAGTGATACCACCTCTTTTATCACTTGCCCCTCCCATTTAGATTGTAAGCTCTCATGGGCAGGGCCCTCCTATCATCGTGTCTTGATTTGTATTGTAACTATAATGTCCTCCTTATATTGTAAAGCCCTGCACAAACTGTTGGCGTTATATAAATCCTGTATAATAATAATAATAGGCACGGTACTAACATTCATAACACATATCTCACTACACATTTTAGCATTAATGGTCCAATTCTATTGTTCATATTTAGAAAAAAGGCATAGTAATAGAAAAGGTAGATAACTATGAGGATTGTATAGGGGCTCCAGCTTTGTATTTTGATCTGTTGAGTGGTACGTGTTATTTTATAAAGGCTAGACAAATTATTATTGTTTCTTGTAATCATTGCTTTATAACACCTGAAAACTTAGAAACAAGAGGCTGAATGTAACAATTCTTTAGCTTAGGCATCCAAAGCACATATGTTTTGAAGATGATTTAAAAAACAAAATGCAAAAGATACTGGGCTGCTTTTCAAAGTGCTTTCATTTTGTATGTAGCACACAGAACTGTTCATATGAAAAGACATCTGTTTTTCTGTGCTGCCATCACTAAAAATGTTTTGGCCTCTTCTACTGACAAGTGATAGTGTCTCTAAGTTCTTGTAAGACGTGTGGAAGGAAACAGAGGTCCTGCATAAGAAAACTCAACTGTTAACCTCAGGGTGCAATTCCATCATTTCACATTACTCAATTTACATACTTCATCACGACCACAGCACTTGGCAAATACCATATGTCTGGAGATGTGCATGAAGTGTTTTGGAAAGTAATTCTTAACAGCAATGTATTGTTTTCTTTTGAGAAACCTTTTGACTATACTGACATTGTGGACAAAAACAAACACTTTACTTCAGGGAAATCCAGATTTGAGCTTCTAAGAATTTTTTCTTGCATCTACGCATTGTACACATTAAATATTAATTAAGGTGACCTTATGACAACCTATTAATATTACCTTTTGCTATCCCATTGAGTTAAGCAATATCTATGAAAAACAAGTTTTAACAGCTACAAAGTTTTTATTCTCAAGTCTGATTATGTAAATCAGTTGATAGACTTGAACACAGATGCAACAATACTGGTATCAAGAGAACAACAACAATTTAACAACTATTTTAATGTTATTTTTTGGTGAAATTTCAAAGCTAAGAATTTGTATATTGGGGTGGTGCATGTCAATAAACTGATCTCTTTTTTACTTCATAAGAGGATTCAAGGAATCTTGTTCTAAAGGCATTGTATGTTTGGTGGCAATTTCCTCCATCCTTTTAAGTTGGCACATTTCAGATGCTCATTCACTTATGGAAGATAAGCATGTGGATAGCCAGTGCTTTGGAGTAAAGCATATCTTGGATTTAAAGTCTACACCTAAATGCACTAAGAGTAAGAATATCTTTGGGCTTGGTTTGATATTTTTAGCAGTAATATGGCTATAAGTGTTGACAATTTTCCTTACTAGCAGATGATCTTAGTTTAACTGTCCAAGCACAGACAGGAACAGACAAGTAACTCCACAAGTAACTAAGGGTTTCTTTTATTTTTCCAAATGATAGCACAAAATCTTAAGTCAAAAGGTGCATCAAAAGACAAACATAAAAATTCCAGATTACAAGTGTTCCAAAGTTATGTTGCCTCCAGCAACGATGACAGAACTTCTTGCAGGCTCCAGAAGCCTCTCCAAAATGCTAACAGACTACACCTCCAGTGAAGCACTTGCAACCTACCAATAAACCCAAGGTGGAGTCCTTTAACTCGGGAAGATCCTCAGTTTTGATTATGATATATATCCTTTTCATCACAATACCCTCCCCTGTTCATGTGTGGGTTGCAACACAAGCTGCTAACAGCTGCAGTGGGTTCAGGAGAGGGTAGTCAAGTTCCCCTGGAATTGGCCAATTCAATTAAAATTGTGCATTACTATGAACCACCCAGCCCACTTAAAGGTATTAAGGAATGCCTCCACATCACCATGGGGGAGGGGGTAATTTTTCTTTGCAAATTGATAAACCAGTGGTGCAGGGGGGAAACCGCAAGGCTCTGGACCAACACCACCAGTTGGGCATCCATTGATTTTTTACTTCTACCTGGGCATTCATAGATTCTCTCAGACCCCGAAGTGGGTATGCATGAACTCCTTCAGACTTCTCACGTGGGAGGCCAGCAGTTTGGGAAGCATTACTCTGTGCAAACTGGCTTATAGATTTCATACTGCATACACACGTTCGCAGTGTACAACAAATAGCATGCTATCTTCTTTAGATGTCGTTGCCTTTAGGACTTCCGTGTGTCTGAATTCCCATCAAAAGTGAAATTAGCATGTAATGGCAGGGATATTAACATAACAGCTCCTTGTTCAAACTACTAGCCTACTCTAGCAGCTTCACTAAAATGGTGAGACAAATCAGGATTCTGTGACATCCCAATTAGCTGGCAGAGGTAGAGTGGCTTTGTTCAGCAGGCAGCAAGATCTGAAAGCAATATAAATTATTTTCAGGGCTATACATTGGAACTGCTTGTCACAACACCTGAAGTTTCTGGAAACTGCAATTCACTCCACGGAGACAAGACAACACCTGGATGTGAAGCAGCAGATACAGTATATGCAAAAACATTTAAAAAATATAAAAAAAAGTTAACAAAAAAGGTTATTACTTACCTCTGTCTCCGCCGCTCACTCCTGTCCGAAGATCTGGGGTTTGTTGTACACCAAGTTAAAGTACAGTATTGCAGAGCAACCAATCAATATAATTGTTCCATTTGAACTAAAATTTGATGTCAGATTAGTTGCTATGTTTTTGCCACATACTTGTTCTTTAGATCATGGTAAAAAAGCTACTGTGAAACGTAAAATGTCAGCAACAAAACTCAATGAACAACACCCAAGTCCTGACAGCAATTTAAAACCATAATTAGCAAACTAGATTGAAACCTGGTATACAATACAAAGTATGCTTTAAGACACAGATGACACACTCATTTGTATACTGAGAATATTCAGATAATAGAAGCATTGCTATAAAGGCAAGAGCTCAAATTTTCTACATGCTGTAAAAAAAAAAAAGATGAAAGCTCAGTAATTGATAATGATTAAAGGATTACTTTATATGCATGATCTGCACAAAGAAATAGAGTCCTTGAAAACTAGGTCTAATTTGTGATACATTTGTACTTAATTGCCGGTAGTTTTACTCAGTATTTTGCAAAACTTGCACTTCAAGAGTGTTGCTCCATGCATACGTCACCTGTATCACTTAGGCTAGTTACATCTTATTTCACCTTTAAAACTATTGATGACTTTTATTTTGCCAGAAATACACAGAAAGGAACATTTTACCTAAACAGAGTAGGTTCTAGTGGCTGAGCTAATCTGACAATTGTGAGAGGCACTGAATTACAAGACATCCATTTCTCTATTAATGAATCCGATTAAAAAAAAAATACCATCCTTAATTTAAAATAAAATACACAAATGCAGTGTTACAAACAAAGTTATGTCAGAATAAAACTGCATGGACAATTTTTTGCAATCACACTGCACTGGTACTCACAGCATTGCGGTACTGTGCGTTGCAGTGTGGACAATTACACTGTGGGTGGGAGGCGGTTTGGGGTGCCATTGAAATGAATGGCACTGGAACACACCTCCCGGAGCAGAATTTATCAGGCCAAAACTGAAAATGACTTTTTTCACACCTTTAATAATTAAAAAATTTTATTATTGTAAGCACATGGCACTTGAATAGCTTCAGCCAGGGAAAGACAGCTGTCAGCGGCAGGATTCCGCAGACGGCAGCTGAATGTAAATACAGCAGGTAATGGGCTGGTGCAATAGTCAGCCTGCTATTGGACATTTTAAAAATTGCAATAGCCAATAGCAGGCTGGCTAGTGCACCCGCCCAATGCTTGCTTTGCCCTCCTACCCAGCATGGAGAAGAGAGCTAGTGGAACCAACCAACTAATCGATAAATAGAATAGTTGACAATCAATTATTATCGATTAGTTGGTTGCAGCCCGACCTCAGCTCCTTTAGCATTACCTGTTACCGCTGTAAAATGCAGTGGCAATCATTTTAATATGGTGCCCAATGGTACCAACAATGAGAAAGCACAACATACTTCATCCCAACCAGCCTTACATGAGTCTTCAGGGACTGGGACACACCAGAAGCTGTGCCATGGCTATGTACCTGGAGAGGGCTTTGCAGCTAACACAGTACAAAAGGTTCTGGAAAGTGACACATTGCGGAGCCCAGTGCATGAAGGTCACATTCCAGTCTAGCCCCGCAATTTTAGTCCAGTCGGGTCCAGGTGTGGCCTCCAAAGCAATTGCTGAGAACACGTCAGATAACTGCTATCTTGGTGAAAAAAAGTTCTACACGGGTTGGCTTAAGGTTTTTTTTTGGTTTGCCA